GGGGGGGGGGGGGGGGGGGGCTTATTCGAACGGAGGGCGTATTCGAGGACTTAGGTACGTGTTTGAAAGTCTTTACTAGCCCAGACTAGCCCAGACTAGCCCAGCTTTTGACTTAGATGGGACTACAGTTTGCTTACTGATACAACCTCCATTATACAGGGCAGTGTGGATATTATCTGGACCATTCCGGAATTACCTGATTTTACTCTGATAATCGTTGTCACATGAAAGCGTTGGTACATAAAAATACCCCTACTTTTGGTAATTTGCAACCATCTTTCTTGCGTTACGAGACCTAAAACGTCATTAGAAGATCCGTGGAAACTGAGAAAACAATCTACAAGGAGGAAAGAAGACTACAGGATTTCAATCCATATTCACTCTAAATTATTACGTTGTTGAATCTGCGGTGCATCTTAAGAATCTTTTTTTCGTTTGTCACAGGGTGCGATAACGCAATGTAGTCATATTCCATTCCCGTTGGCAGAGACATATCCTGATCAGTCGCATTTTCAACTCCTTCGCTAGCTCACAATTAGTATTTTCGAATCTCCACAGTCTAACTACTGTTATTTCGCAATCATGACAATTTTGTGGGCTGTTTTTTAATTGTAACTTCGAGTTACACAACACGGCCATCTGCCGAACTCAAACATGGTGGTCATACGGGCACAGACCTCGAGAAAGGCCGAAAAATACAAAGGAAATCGAAGTATCACGTACCCAAAACCCCGTTTTGTTTTCTTTGTATTCTGAGAAAAGTTTTCAAAGCTTGGAGGAGAAGCTTTAAACTTTCTGAGGGCTCAATTGAAAGCATATCACGTGTTGAGAACCGTGTCGTTCTTGTTTCCAAATGAACATTTTCAGTGTGATTATGTAATTTTTGTTATATAACTATCTGCAGTTTTACTGTAAGGAGATGCCCTTTTTTATATAAATTATTCACAGAAATTTTTTTTCAAGCAATTTAATATTCTAATATTGATTTATTTTCAGCATCACATCGTGAATTTTTACGTTCCTCCTTTATTGTCAAAAATTGTGACACTTAAATGAAGATTAGCAAGAACGACGCGCTGTTGGTTATTTACAGCAACACGGGGGCAACATACCATTGTAGACTAAATGTTAAGCTGCTAGCAATGTTTTGCTTCTATGCAACTAAGTTATAATTTTTCAATTGAAGTTGATTGAAAAATTTTTAAATTCACCCAGCATTTGATTGAAAATGTAAGATGGATGCTGTTTGCTCTTTGTTATCGTGAAGCTTGCATTCTTTTTGTCCTCTTTAGACGTTCCAAAGGGCGAGCTCGATCTTATATTCACAAAATATGATTTGAGAAGACTTGATCTCTACTCGCGAAATTTGGTTGACTATCATCTCATTATGGATCTTCTTCCTGAAGGTAAGATATCTGTCCAGTTTGGAAAGTGAACGATTATGCTTGTGCTTGTTCAGCTCGATAGGTAAAATTATATGGAGGGGAAAGAATGAGCAAGTAGATGTTAATCACAAGTGAAAGAGTTGCTGAGTGATGACCTTAAAGAATCTAATTCTTTACAGTAGGAAACAGGCTCCATTCTCTTTACAGTAGGAAACCCCCTTATATAGGAAACAGACCCCATTCTCTTCAAAAGAGGCTCCTTTTATAAGAAACAGTTTTAGGCCTGAAAGCAAAATGTTTCTTAGTTTCAGGGTTTTCATAGTTTATTCCCGAATGCCAAATAAGGAAGTGTAATTGAATAATGCTAAGTACTTGCAGAATGCAATAGAGCACTTTTCAATCATTACACTACACATAGAAATCGATTTTTGGTCACACTCATTTTGCTTTACTAGTTTTACCCAGAAGAATGATGAAACGGTACAATATTCCTTATTCTCAGAAAGGAGTTTTGGGATGAGAAATTTAAAGAAACTGCATAAAGAGCACTGATAATACTGACATGATTGGCATGAACATAATTTCTCAGACAGAACATAATTAATTGTTTGATAAGTAAAAATTCTGTTTGGTTGTATTAGAATAATTTTTAAAACATTTTAACATTTTCAGAACATTTCTATGTGGTTGAATCTGATTACAAAAAGTTTAACATTTTCTGGAGCCCAAAATGTATTTTCTGTACTTTCCAATGTGTTATTGATCTTAAATGCATAAAGCATTCTAATGACATCAGAACATTGTACTGTGCAGTATGTATTGTACACTACTGCCAGTAATTTTCAATACACATGCTTGCACGGTACATTCACATACCTTGACTTGACTTGGTTTAACCTGACGGTACTTCTGTATAAGAAACTTCCACCCTGGTTATGAAAAGGTCTTTAAGTAAGAAACTTTTTGAGGCTTCAATTTAAAAAGTGGTTGCGGCAACCTACTGTATCTAGATTTCTTGAATCTGGATTTTGTTATCTGAAAGAATATGAAATAGACCCTAATGTCAAAAGGCACTGGCTGAGATCTTTCTACAAGACCATATGCTCTTTCTATGTCGAATTGTTATTTGGAATAATATAGTTTATTAGGTTGTATAGCCATACAGTTTTAAGAAGTAATCAAATTGTTTTGTGTTGATAAGAAGTACGAAATATTATCGATGAGAACACATGGTTTTAGTAGATAGAACGTTCTGCAAATTCAGTATCCACAATTTCCGCCAAAGGTCTTGGTATACTTGGATAATGTTTAGTGCCATAATGTTATGTAACATTAAGATGTTTTTTCTTTTTTTTTCAGTCTCCAGACTCTACTTTTCAAACAGGATGGATTTCAAGTTGTCGACAGTGCAATCTGTGAGGAAATTTTTTTTAGCTGAGTTCACCATGATTACATTTTAATGCACTGTTGTTATGGGAAATGAATTTGGAAAGACTGATAAAAGTGGGGTATAAATACTGATAAAAAGTGTAAAGGGGTTACAAGCAAATATAACGGTAGCAAGACGGGGGTTACAAGCAAATGTAACGGATAAAATGCGAATAGACATCTTTAGAACACATGTTTTTTCATCCAAAAAGGGTTTTTAGTTACGTTCACTTGCTATCCTTTCTGATCATCTAGTGCAGAATTATTGTAATAGATTTTGGTAGAAAGAACCATGAACTTAACATTTGTTAGTGGCTTTCCAAGGGGGGGGGTGTTATTCAGTCAAGTTGATTTTCAGTGTTCGTCTCATGCTTGCAAGTAGGGCTTTAGACTTACATACAAGGGTTGTTTTCTTGCCTTAGCTGTTAAACGTTATTGATACTTGAAATGAATAGAGTCCATAATAAATAAATTGATAAATTAATAAATTAAATAAATTTATAAATTAATAATAAATAAATACTAAATTAATTTTATTTTCAAATAGGCTATTCTTCTGGGGATTGGTCTGCAACACAAACGTGTAGATGAATTAGAGGTAATTTCAAATTTTATCGTTTTTACTATCCTGGACTGTTTACAATCTTACTGGTTTTATGTTTTACAGTCTAGTGGGTGTTTTACATTTTAAGTCTCGTCGTGGTTTCTTTTCTGCAGTGAGCTTCTCAATATTTAGTGCTATAACAAAGTTAGTGCTTGTGAAAAGTAATCGGTATTTCAATAATCCCTTATAAAAACATTCGAAGAGTTTCTGAAGTATGATCCTTTTTCTTTAGGATCTTCAGTGCACTCCTTATCTCCAATACTTGTACCATTGATTGCTATCAAACCTTTTTCATACTGAAGCAAAACAGTGATCTTAGGTTATCAATTGTTAGGTCATATGTTCTGAAATCTCTGGCAAAAATTCTTTCTGTATGACCTCTAATGTTCCCTGCTATCTAATGAATTATTACTGACCGACCAACTAGGCATCTCTGTATCTTTGGTATCAGAATTTTTACAACCAAAATTTTCTGTCTTCCGCACAAATATAAGGTAATAAGCGAAAAAGCTTTATATGCAGCTCTAATTTTTTGCTGTTCCACCCTCCTATAGAATAATAAATCCATAAGTTGGTTTGCACGATTTTGTTTGAATTTTCTTATGCCTTTTTTGCTTTCATGAGCTATTTACACGCAGTTGCATTCTCAATTTTTCGTTATTATTCAAATTTTTGTTTTTTTAGAAAGAACTTGATTTGCCTGGGAGCCAGATTCTTGGCCTGTTCAACAGAATGATGAAAAAAGTAACCCAGGTGAGCTGCGTTAAACTGAATTCGGCAATGGGTTGCTTATAGCGATTTTCTGGGTCGTTTAGGGATTGAGCCAAAATGAACCAAACTCAAGTTCTTTGTTGCTTCCAAATACTGGCCTTTGGTATTAGAGGGTTTTTGACGATTCGATGAATATTTTGTGATTCAAAATTTCATATAAACTTATGAGAATTCTATTTACAGTTGTTAAAATTTTATCAAATTACAACTAATATTCGATTTTATTTTGAATGTCAATATAAGCAAACAATTACCCTTACCCTTACATCAGCAAACAATTGTAATGCTGTTTTTATCGTCAAGTTCTTTCTCAAAATAGTTTGGCTACTAATGATCTTCACCGTACCTTTTTATTCATTTCAGTATCTGAATGGCATTGTCGAGAAAGAAGTTGAACAGTCTCTAGCACCGAGAAAGTCTATCATCATGGAACCAACTGCCAAGTCTTTAGATAAAGAACTGGTAAGGTTTATCACTAATAATTCTAAGTCAGCCTCTAGTCCTGCAAAATTTTAGGATAGCCCGGATAAACGGAAGCGTAAGATACTATACAGGACGAAAATGCAATGGCAGGACTCGAACCCGCGATCATCAACATTGTACGTCATTGCTCTATCAACTGAGCTCGAGTTTTCTCAGCTCCAGTTCCGACTCATTTGAGTTATTCCATGTTTCTGCTTTTCCGCGCTATCTTCAAACACTTAAATCTAAGCCGAAAGACACGGGAAGTCCTTGACTGTGAAGAACCGACGAAATGAAGTAGTAGTTCCTATTTCTCGCTGCTTTCTTTTACACCGAGTACCCATTTGCTGATGGTTGGACAGGATGCAAAGCTTCTATGTCGTCGGTCGAGCATTGGCTTTGATGCACAATACTGTCAGTGATCTAACACATGTCATGTAGGCCTTCCTATATGTTGGTACTGCTTGATGTAAGACAAGATCTTTTTTTCATCAAAGTCAATACTAGGCCCGAATTCATCGTCATGGGCGGTAAAAACCATTGCTTTTGGGCACTTGACAGAATTTAAAAGCTGCCTAGGAGCAAAAGCCTGGAAATTTCACTGCGAAGCAAATTGATGCTTTGCTAGAAAACTAATCAAGGTTTAAAAGTTTCAGGTTAAGGTTGTACGCTCAAGCACCCAAATCCCACTTATGGAACCCACAGCCCAATTCGCTACAAAATCTAACACTAGTTTTGAATTAATTGACGTTAAAATGCATTTAGAAATGAGTGCAAATCGGGAGGAACTTGTTCATCTGGCTTAAACACGAGTACCTTCGATTCGCACGAGGCCTAACTTGTTTGACAGTATTACGATGTTCTGTTTATAAGCGCAAAAGCTGTACGACTGCTAAAAGCTACGTGAATTTATTGTTTTAATCTTCTTTATAAAGGATGAGGCTGAAAAGGAATTCAAAGAGAAGCAAAAACAGGAGATGGAGAAACTCAAGTCGATAGACTTTACTGAGTGAGTTTAGAGCGGTTTAGAAGTTGCTGTACTGTACGTTTTGGGTTCCATAGCCTTTCCAAATAAGTATTATCCCATTTGTAAGTAGATTTCTGAAAGGAAACAGTGGTTGATGTAGGTGATCATTGAGATTATTACGTAAAATAGTTTAAGAATTCACTAAGACTGCAGTTCGTTTTTGTGAGTAAAATATTATTACGAGTATATCATCTGTATTGGTGAAAAATTATGCTCTCCCTGTTATGTTGCAAGCATTATTTCAAATAAACGAGAATAATGACATTGATGTAAAACAAGTAAAATAAAAAGTGATTTCCTGTGTAAAATTGAAAACTACATTGCAGGTTTGCCATTTCTGGAAACGAGCAAGAATGGAATAAAGCTCTGGGAAAAACAAAAAAGCTTGGAAACATCAGTATCGGCAGGTATTGGCCAAATTATATTATACTCAATTATATTTGTAGTATGATTATAGGTTCTAAGAATGTGATTTTATTTTATTATATTATGCCATATTTTATTTTATTTTACTTATTATTGTATTAAGTCTTTGTTATTGCAAATTGTCATGACTTAACAAAAAAATTTTGAGGCGTCGAGACTGAAATCTGCTTACATATGATTTTCCGCTTTTTGGGATCTTGATATTTTTTAATCATTAGAATGATTAAAACTGCTGTTTGTCACAAACGGCTCGATACCGTATAGACAGAGCTGTACACGTTTTTGGTGTATTGAAAAGGAGGCTGTTACACCAAGTAGCGTAACTATGAAAATATGTTCAAAAATGTTTGGATCTGTTGAAGCATCCTTAAAGTGAGGCTGTAGCGAAACAGAGGCTCATGGAGTAAGTCTATTTGGATCAATTCAAATTTTCGCCTGACGTTTAACGGCTGGCGTGGTTGCCTGGCCTGTCCTTGGACCTGCTTCTGCCTTTAGGCATGCAAATTAAGAAGAGAAGTTGTAGCGGATGAACCTCGCGTTAACGGATGCTTCAGACTTGCGCTGCAGGCACCGATCCTTATCTTGAATGTATTTCTTACAACCAGCAAGCAGTTCGTGTATTTTAGAGAATCTTTTGTATCTTTCATCAGTGACAGCCGCAGTTTGTCAAATAATCCGAGATCCATGTCGGTTTTTTGTTTAATCACTATTGCAAACCCGAGATATTTAACTAGTTGACATCATAGCCTGTAGTTTGTTGTCTTATTTTTCTTCAAGATCTAATTTATTCATTATTTCAAAACGTGTTTTTTGTCCCTATTTTGAGCTCGATCTGATTTCAAGCCTGTTTTCTCGCAGTTTGTGCGCTGATAGTCGTAAAAGGCAAACCTTGTTGAATGATCTTTTTCCTAATTTGATGTTTAATCTTCCCAGCTTGCTGGTTTTAAGGTCCTAAATCCTGATAACTCTAGGTATAGATTTTGTATTAAATTTTTTCCAACTGATATTTTATCATGTTTAAGGGCAAATCTAAATCGTTTATTTTTGGGTATATTCATGTTTTTTGACTGAGTTGTGATAGATATTGATTGCATAACTTCATCTCGTGGGACAGCTGGCAAGAATATGTCTTTGTCTTCTTCCTCTGTCGCAAACTCAAGATGCGCTTCAGGCAAATCATTCCATGAAAATCTCGTTCAACTTTAGTGCTCGTCCTTTTGTTTTATCTTAAAATTCCTCGAAATCATTTTGTTTTCGTTGAAATCCGCTCACGCTATTTACAAGAGTGAATTTTCCGTCGGTTACAGTAATGCATCTTCTTCTTGTTTCTCGAAAGGACGAAATTTTCGACAAAATTCTTGCTGTTCTGAGCAATGCCGTCTGTTATTGTGATTACTGTACTTTCATCATTGTTATCTCCAGTTTAGTTTGGTTCAAATGGATTTCATTCATAGGGAAGATTCTAGCAATTTTGGATAATCGAATATTACTTATTTTATCAAGAGTACCGGCATTGAATGGAAAACACAACTTATCGCTTCTTCCTTAGAGTTATTGAAGAAATACCCCCCCTCCCCCCCTTCAAAATGGCGTTTAGCACGGAGAGTTACCTGTGTCTAGTTGTGCTGAAAAAGGAGAAGCTTTTCGTGATCGTCATAAACTGTCCCTTTTTTAGTCTAGGAGACATTTTTTATCTCAAGTTGGAAAGTTTAAAATATTTTTTAGATAAGACTTTTGATGGGTAAGAATATGAACATCTTTCGATTTACATTTCAGGTCCTTCTACCTCAAAATGTTATATCGCTTGGGCCACCTCCATTATTGAACGAATATCACCTCATTTTGCTTTCTCTTTAATTTCTATCGATTAATCCATTGAGGATTGTACTATATAGCTCGGTTATCGTGCTCGAAAAATATGTTTTTGTTTGTCAGAAAGGCAAACTAATGAATTTCTTTCTTTTTGTCTTGATAAATTCGAAACACTTACGTCTTTGCGTAGGCAGTGCAGATTGCCTTTGTTGCTCCCTGTTGATTTTGTCACCCAACATCAGTTATAATCGCTCTTTCTGCTCAGTACTCTTAATTTTATCAAAATCTCACTTGTGAAAATTTGCTTACTCATTTTCTCACTAATTGGTGCATCCTGTTTTTCTGACTTTCTACCACATTGCTGCAGCTACCAAACGTTTTATGAATTATTCAAAATTATCTGCCATGACCTGAACAATATTTTAAATTTTGAAAGGAACTTCCATCTAAACGGTCGAGCATTTCACAAACATTCACTAAACATTTTTTTAAAAGTTGGGGTCGCTAGTCCAATGGTGATCAAATAACCAAACATTTTGTCTAACAATTGAGCCAAACTTTATGTTTTTTGATCGCACTTTATCCTACATCGACTCGCTCTATTCTCTATTCAAGAATCATGAAGAGAAGGTTGTCTAGCGCTTCCCTGAGACCACCTGGATCGGTTAGTCTCCTTGATCTCCAGAGCATGATTTTAAGCTGAACTTTATTTTCAGTTAGATGAAGTGTCAGCTGAGTTATCGAAATCCAGTCCGTATTCTTTCTCCGTTATATCCACTGTAACGTTCTTCTGTTTGAACTATTAAAGCGCATTACTTTGATTTCGTCTTAAAATCACAACAAAGAGCAAAAAAAGAACAAATCGGCGCCAAAATACTGCTACATTCGAGATACGCGTGTGCACGCCCTGCAATGTTGGCTGAGGTGTTCAAACAACCGAAAATTTCACCGAAGGTCTCTTTAACACGAAACTCTTGTCTCGTTGATTCCTGATTGATAGTATGACCTTGTTTTGTTGAAGAGGATATATTACCATGTGGATAAGCTATTCATTTATCATTATATTTTAAAACATTTATGTTATGAAAATCATGCATGGATATTTTCAATCTATTACATATTATTTTGTCGAGTTAAATGTTATCAATACAGAAGGACATATCCATGTACCAACGAAGTTTCAGTAGCATAGAAAATAAGGGAGAGAATGAACATTATCATCTGTCATATAAAAACACGAAAAAGTTTGAGAATATCTCAAAGGAAAGACCATATCCGGAGTTCGCGACGCAATTATGGAATTCGATAGTTCTTTAGCTAGTTCAAATCGCGCAGGTGGGACAGACCAGCGAAAAATTCATGGTGGATTTCGTTTGTAAAATTTCTTCAGAATAAGGAAAAATGCTTTTATAATTGAAATCTGAGCTACAGAAGAATTTACAAATCTTGACGATATAGGCCACCACTGTATTTATTGCGATTTTTGCCCCACTTGTATCATCGTGTCGCGAACTCCAAGATGGTGTATAGCTACATTGTTTAAATTTTATAGTTACTTAACAATTTGAATGTACTTAAAGGAAATTGACAGTGCACCGTAACTCATTCAACTCAATACCAAAACTTGACTTTACATGTTACCCCTATTTTGTCTATATCTAATCGAACCAGTCAGTTAACATCTGAAATCAATGTTATTGATTTAAACCTTAATGCATCAATGTTTCTAAAATATTTTTCTCAAATAGAAAAAGCCTAACAAACAGGATATAAGTTACAAAAACAGTTGGTTTGATCCCAAACTCGATTTTCTAGAGTGTTTTATTATACTTCAGTAAATGTTTGTTGCTGGCTTCTTTAAATCTTTACCAATGGCTATTAGCCAATAAAACGAAATTATTGTTTGTTTTGGTGAAATCAGCTTTGTTTTTCAATGGAGGTTGGATTACTGTATAAATGATGGCGATAAATACAACAGTTAAATTGTTCTCGTTTCCTTTATGCTAATTGCAATGTCACATGACCGTTGTTTTCTATTGGAGATTTTAATGTTGACCGTTGACTCTCTTCTTTTTCAGTTCAAAAGATAAAAGAAAGCAAGATGTAAGTTGGCTGTTTATTCTTACATCTTCACAATTGCATTTTATTGTTGATTACTTTTATCCTCTGTTTGCTTTGAGAGTCGATTTTCTACTTTAAGTTGACCCAACGTTTTAATTTTTTCAGCTGTCATTGACATAATCAGGTTTTCATTCATTATTGTTGCCTAATTGTTTCCTTGGGTCAGTCGCTGGGTCTCAGCCCTGCGACAAACTGATGCATTGTTAGGTCCGCAATCGTATCGAATCCGAGCTTTCTCTTCAAGAATTACCGGTCCTGGGTCCTGGGCATATCTCTTTAGACATCAAACCTAACAATGCACAGCCGAAACGAGTAGATGAGCCACAAACTTGCCTGGTCTCGTTGTGACCACCAGAAACTTACCTGGTCTCGTTGTGACCAGAATGGATGCTCATCTACGAATATTCACCAGATTGTATAATCACTTTGTCCGAATCTGAAGGAAGAATTCGGATTGAGCAAAGGGTGTAATGTCTAGAATCAAGCAAGGATTATTTTGCGTCTTACTTCCTTATACAACCTTAACCTTCAAAGCACTTTTTGTTTGTGCAAGAGTGCTTCAGTTAAAAAATGGCCTATCCCCGCTCAGGATGAAGTGTTTTGGCTGTGACTCAGTTCGAATACAGAAACGAGATTTCTGCTCACATGGAAATGATTCAATATTAATGATTTTTGATGCATCAAACTGATTTATATTAAGATTTTTCTCATAAAATCATGCGATATTTTTATCGATTGACCTTTGTAACTCACATAATGTTGATAGTTATTGATATTTTGAAATATCGCAATCTAATATTTGAAACTTGCAACCTAATATGAATCTTGCATGCGTTAATTTAGTCTAATACCGGAAAAGATGAGATGTAAAGCTGGACGCTGTAGAGATATGTTGGCTTGCTTTGCGTTTTAAAGGCTCTTGCGCAACCAGCATGCTTTGCAATTATAATTCCAAAACCGGCCTAATATCATACTGCATGAAAGTACAAAACACAGCCATTATCTCAAGACAGCTGCCGCTAAACATGTCGGTTGCGCAAGACCCTTGGAACTTCAGTTCTTCATATGCAGTTAAAATTTCTGAAATAGATGACCTACTTGAAATGCTTATCTGAGAGCAGAATTCAAATATCCAGACCTGCAGCATTGCGCGCCATATTACAGCAAAAATATATCAGTTCGCTTGCAGCAAAATCTTTGAGTTAGCACATTTTATCACATGCGAAGATTGCCTTTTCTTTTGTGTAAATATCACCAAACGACAATCGTTTCCTGATCGCAAACTGATAAAGTTATTTTATCTGACATCATGTTGGATCGCCGTCGCCGATTTTCATCAATTTTATCTTACTTGGAAATTACGCAAGTCTGCTAGATGGCTGCGAAACTTTTTCAAGCAAAGAATTAATATATATTTCCTCACTGTGGTTGAAAACGAGTTGACCTAATTCATATGGGGATTTAGAGACAATTAGCGCGGCAGGCATATCATTGCTTACTGTTTTGAAGACACAAATTTATAAAATTGGTTTTGATGAATTTTTAGTGGAAACGTTTACTTTATAATCCTAAAAATTTGGTGTAGTTTTTTGTGTAAAAAGAACGGGTATTTTTCATTTCAGTGTACGGAATTACGTCTCTGTGTACTCAAATTCCTTCCTTGTTCATGATCGTTATCCAAAAAACCCATTGAAAAACATTTTAAACTTCCTTTAAGTCAGATACTGTTTAACTCGACCGAAGCCTGTTTAAATAAGATCGCGTAGAAATAAGATCATAAATATTTGTGTGGTAGTCTGCAAGCATCATGTCTTGGTACACTTCTGTTAATTATTTGGCTTATTTCCGCTTTTTATGGTGCTCATTGTGCGCATTAGGAGCTTGCTCACGGTTGTTAAAAGTAAGAGGTTTTTTATCGTGAATGTATATAATTACGTCTTATTACGGCATTTGGATCAGTGGGCCTTGACCTTTCGAAAACACCAAAATGTTTTCTCAATCGCCACCTCAAAAGGTATGTCATCGAGATTGTCTGTGGGAATTCGTTTGTTGGTAGGATGAAAATTTCATCAAATAAGGCAAAGAATTCAATTCTTGGTCTGTTCGCAATTCAAACTCAGTATCTGCCGCGTCTAGTCATGAGCTGCGTTCAACACAGGTTTACAAGTAGCCTCTAAAATAGCAAGCAATAACAGTTGGGTTCTGCTACCACACTGATATGAACCAGACATCACTTAAAAGTGTATTTGAGGCCAAACTGCCACTGCAAAAAGCTTTTATTATAATCGTTAAACCAAGACACCTGGCTCGAATAATCTCTTAGTTGTTCGAAGCAATATGTTTTCTTTATTTTCGCATTTTTATGTCTATTTCTTTTTCCTAAATACAATGAAACTGAAATGAAGCTATCAGTTTAGGACCATCTCAAATAACAGGCCAGATAACTGAATTGAAGTAAGTTACCTTCTAAATATGTGAGGTCTCAAAATCGTCATTAACTTGCTATACAAAAATAGTTGCAGGGGTTCTCGAGCAATTGTCTGTGCCACGACTCAAGGAAACCTGCGAGTATTGCCTTTACAAGTCCATGATTATTTTATTTGCAGCCTTGTATTTGATTTCAAAAATTTTAAAACGTAAATGTGCTAAGAGACTAGAGAAAATGTTTTCTCAAGCTAACTTGGTCTTCAAGTAACATGATATGTGTGACTCGACAAATGGCCAGGTTCATATGTGGTTGAAAAAGTGTGTCCTACAAAGATTAAGTCTATGATTAAAAAATCTTCAAGCGGAAAATCACCTGTGCTTAATTTTCTGTGGCAGATGTAAACTGGTTTGTCTTTGATATTTTCTCACGATTAGGAAAAAAATGTTTCACGGGTGTCTGTCGCGATCCTCGTCTGTATCAGGTTTAAAAACTCTTCAAAAAGAAATTGTGATAAATTGCAAGACTTGATAAATTGTAATCAAAATATAAAAATTGCTTCTTGTGAAACACCTATAGTTATCAGGAACCACGGAAACGGGGGGGGGGGGGCTTGGGGGCTTTAGCCCCCCAATAATTTCTAAAATGTACTTAAAAAACCATACAAAAATTGCCTTGCTCTTCGTTTTTAGCATCTTCGTTTTTAGCAAAACAGGGTATGTTCTTGAAAATGCACGTTTTCTTGTAGCATAGATATGGCTTACAATGCCATTATCCTTAAAAAGTCCCAGACTTTGAATAGCTTCAAAAGAGAAATTAAAAACCACCAGTTTGATTGCAACTGTAGATTGTGCAAACGATTTGTTGAAAATTTACATGAAAGAGTTTTTATGATAGTAATTTATATCCTTTTTGTTGATAGATTGTAATCTAGTTCAATTATAGCCTTGTAATGTATTTAACATCAACGTGTATTTAAGTTTTGGTTAGCATTAATTAGCATATTGATTAGCCCCACGAGAAGCTCGTGGGTAAAGTACAATATATTCCCCGAAGAAATTTTAATAAGAAATTTGATTGGCTTTGAATATGCTACTTTGGGCCTAATCTTCAAAATGTTTTTGTTTTGCTTTTTTAGATGCCAGAAAACGAGAAAAAAGGGCCTAAGAATGCCAAGAAAGCCCGAAAAAGTGACTCAAGAAGGTAAAGTGTTTTTGTTTTTTTATAAACGCATTGGACTGAGGACTATGTTTAGAAGATCCACCGGGCATCGTAGCTTTGCAGGGAGTTTAACCAAGACTTGAAACCCTTAAAGTATCTGCCTATTAATCGCTCATGTGAATTTCAAGACAAAACTTTTGATTTACGTGAAAATTTGTATCCCTTATGAGATTGTAGCAAGTTATCGTGGATTAATGAACCTTGTTGTTGACCCGTCTCTTTTATCATCTATACTGAATTGAGTATCCTTTCTTTCAAATTTTCTGAATTTTCACTGAATTTTCTCATATCAATAGTATACAGTATATAGATATATTGTCGAAAAAACTAGATTCGATTTTCATTTCAAGCTCTGACATTAGTTTATTATTCGACTTTCAATATCATCGATTTTTCTGCTTAATGTAAAACTTCGTAACTATGTGCCCTAGGTATTGTTGTTGTTGGCTTTGGTTCCAGGGTGGCACACAGCTCAAATATTCTTGGTATAGTAAAGCAACAAAGGCAAACCATTGAATACAGTGCCATAGAAAAAATAGAATTATTGGGGGGAACCCCGTGTTCTAGAAAAACAGGAACAAAAGAAACTGTCTGCGAAACATCTGCCAATTTTCCATAACTAATTGTTCCAGTCCCTTTAATACATTGCTTTTCCATCGAAACCCGAATAGTCCGCAAAAATATTGTCAGTATTCGTACAAAGGATTTGGAGAACAGATAGATCAGAAACCCTTTTGTTGCTTGTACACTTATCATTCGGTTTATCTCAATGCCCCCTTGACCTTCACGTTTTATGTAAGTGTCTCTTTTCTATCTACATATAAAAGAATTAATCGATTTAGACATTAAATTTAGCGCACCCAGCTTTAATCTAACGAATCCTTTTATATAAATATTAAATTCTCTTACTCAAAAAAGCGTTTGGTTTATGTATATTGGCGCAGCGTATGTTTGGTTTGGAACCGCAATTGCTTTATTTGAGATACCCAGAAAATATTGTGCTCTGGGATTGGAGGATTTTCAGGGCTCATCTGCTAACAACGTGAGTGATACATCCTTTTTTTGCTGACAATTTCAAAAATTCACTGAAAATCACCCTTAGGATGGCGAAAAGCTCCTTGTTTTGGAAATGAAAATTAAAAGAGTTTCCCAACATTGTTCAAAATTACCTTAGTCGCTCAGCCGTAGCTCTTAACTTTTAACCAATTTTGAGGCTCGTGTTCTTATAATTAAAGAGTATCGTCAACTCCTCACCCTTTTAATCCAAATAAGCTTAAACAATTCATATTTATTGTCTACCCCAGACACCATGCTGATCGACTCTTATTAACTTGTGTGTCCCGTATTTCGTCACGATGTTTGGTAAGGACTGGATTGTTTTTGTTTTAATCTCCCTTTGAATGGTATTTATTCGTTAATCAATGGGAAAGTCCACCATGTTCGTTAAGGGGATATCTGGTTTGATTTCATCTGACGTGCAGCCAGGTCTAAATAATCTCTTGAATTCGATGGCTAATTATAAATTAGTATATGATTTAGGAACATCGGCGCAAATTCAATGTCTAGTCTGACAATTAATTGGTTGATGCCGGATTTTGTCTTTTGGCACGATATTAAAGGTCATGCATTTCAGTAGCTTTAACCAAGGGGTGTATCACTCATCCTAAAATCTCGATAACAGATAAACAGGTTTTTGGCCGATATGCCCCTCGGCTTTAACTGAAGGGGGTTGAGGGGGGTCATAGTAGCGTTAACTGAAAGGGGTGTTGGGTCTTACAAATCTCCGGGTGATTATTTGGAATGAGGGGAAGTTGCATGTAGCTGGTTAGCAGCTGATTTTTGATTCACGAAATCATACGACTTTGCCTTGGGGTTTTCGAAACTTTTGCAGGGCTGTTTGTCATTAAAGCAATGTGGAAATTTTATTGTCAAGCGTGATTTGTAATCGAAAATACTATTTTTGTTTTTTCCGCTTATTTAGATACTTGTAAATGTTGCAAGATTTGATGTGTAAATGTTTGAAGAGATATCAAAGGTTGGTCTAGTCACGATCGATTCGAGACGATCGATCAGTGGTTTAAAACTGTGCTTTCACTGCCGATTCATTTGCGTGCATTCAAAGCCTGTCTTTGCCAAGGCGGTCTTCTTGTGAGCTTACGTTTTAAGCATCGATTATTTGCCGCGAGTATCATGCTTCTTGGGATGCAAATAAATGAGTGCCGTTTCGAAAAGCAAGGTTGAATCGATTTTCTCTCTAAAAGTTACCCACACCCCTCCTCCCCACCCCTCTGGCTGTGGTATTGCAATCTTGCTTGAATGATCCCCCAGTCTCTACTGATTGGCACATCAGGTACTTTATGTGCCAATCAATAATGTCTATCCTGTATACTGAAAGTCAACATAATCCAATGCCATTAACCCCACAGGCCTCATCTCCCCTCCTCCCCCTTAGCACTCCCTTGATTACAAGCTTCATCCATACGTACGTCAATTTCACCCTGCTACAAATACCTGATAATTTCTTAAAAGTTCTTTATTCCTTCAACTGAGTTGTAACATTGATTGTGAGGGCTTTGTTCAGATAGTCATGTGACATCCAGTCTTGCTTTCCTACTCAATATCATTGCTGAACAGTGTTACATGCTACGAATTCATTCTCAAAAACGTGAGCCAGTAAATCCTGCAAACTCCTTGTCAAGTCCCTAATTAATAAAAATCCGGATTCTCTTCTTGTAAATAAACAGATTTCGTGTTTATACGTCCGATTTCCAGAACAAGACTGGATTAACTTTTTCTCAGTAATCTGATTGTATTTGCCGTTGATAGGATTAGCAGTTCGTCGCTCTATACTGACTGAGGGAATGATCTTGTTACGGGTTCTGCCTAGCATACAGATAGCATTATGGTTTCCGGTGCGCTAGGACAGCGGCCAACACTAGAAAATCTCTTAATACTAACGCTGATTGGTTCCGGGAAAATGTCAGCTGTGGACATAAATTATCCCGGACGTGTAGCTCCGTAAGAGTATTAACTATCTATAATTGAAGTTTGGATTGCTTTGCCAATGCTCATTCAAAAACTCTTTAAAGGTGATAAGCAATCGGAGACCTTTGATGGAAGTTGTCTTTTTGGGTACCACTACCATTTCGTTTCAAATAATATTACCAGCTATGTTTCTTACACTTGAGTTGATATTATTTCCTTGCCCACTTCTTCTCCCTATGTGCCCATATCTTTCTCGGTCAAAGGCCAGTATCCTTAAATCGATTTCCCGCTAATGGTTTACAGTCTCTTGATTATATCAAACAAACCATAATGAGACTGAGGTCAGCTTTTGGTCTTAACTTTATACTGAAGTCAATGGCTCACAGGCTACAGTTATTGTCTATGTGGGTTTAAAATGGTGATTCGTTTGAAAAGAGGATAATTTATTATTAATGCAATGAATAGAAACAATTATCCGAAAGGATTCAGTTTGTTGTAGAAAGTCAATAAAGCATTTTAACAGTGCCTAGGCCATATTTAAAGATCTTGTAATTAGCTACTCAGAGATTGTGTTGTCTGAATGCACTCAGTTAGGCCTTTAACTCCAGATTACCAGTTAACAAAGTAGGCTGGTCTTTTGGCCTACACAAAACGCTGTTTAACCACTCATTCTTCTTTCAAATAGCATGATTTTACAACCAAAGACACATTTGTCGTGAATTTTGCATGAGATTGGTTTATTTGTTGAGAAATGTCGCTGGTTCATCTCATAAAATCTAACTTTTGTGGTCAGAACGACTTAAAAAATTTCAAAGATTGACTTACGATTTTTTATCAGATTAAAACTTGAGATTCATAACTAGAATCAGAGAAGTTAGTGTTTGTTGTCACAGCATTCGGAGTGTCGTTACCACATCAGCATTATTTTTAAGTGGAATAACATGCTGTATATAAAACCTTCTAGTTAAGTCAAGTATTTTGTATTCAGTGATAATGTTGTGTTTTATCGAAAGTATCGTGCACCTTCACAGCGAATTGAGAATAGCATCAGGAGTCACAGTTAATCTTACTGAATCTGCTGTTTCAATTGAGAAATGCCAAGCAAAAAGGAGTTTTGGTGGGTTTGCTAAAAGAAGCTAAGATTGTACTTTGGTGTTCTTTAAATATAAATTTTTGAGCTAAAATTTGATATTATTATTAAGATGTTAAAGGACTTATTAAGATGTTGTTCACAAATATGATGAAAGTGGAATAAGCGAGTGTTCTTTGTAAGATCTAGCAATTTTTGGGTTAAAGAAACTTGCACCATATATATATACTTAAGATGGATGACAAGCTAGACCTGAGTCACAAAACAAGACCGGAATACATGCCTACGTATAGACTACAGCCAGTAGACGGGACCCGGTTTAATGTCACTGAAGTCGAAGAGCTAACGATGAAAGTATTGACTGAAAAGCTTTCGAAAATTCAGTATGAACCAACAAGGTCGAAAAAACTGATTTGTGAGATTGCTAATGAAATCAGAGAAAAACTGAAGAAGATGAAAATGAGAAGATACAAGTATGTTGTTGTTGTTCAGCTTGGAAGTATGGATGGTCAGGAAGTGAGTATTGCCAGCCGTTGTGTTTGGGCAGATAAAACAGATAATTTTGCTACGGCTTCATTCCAAAATAGTTATTTATTTGGCGTTGCAACAGTTTACGGGTTATACTACGAATGAACTACACAGAACCGCGCTCATATATCCTGCCAATTTATCCCATACACAATATACATGTTGCTCTTTATGATACACTTAATGGACATGTTTACAATGCCTCTTAATCAGGACAAGGTCAAGCCATCATCTGAATGTTGTAAATTTCATCAAAATGGCGTGATGTAACTTTGATATTTGGACAGCAGAGACATTAAAGCTTAAAAGCTCTTTTACCATTTTGGTATTAAATTAAAGTTTTCGTGCTTTGCAACAGAGGCTCGTGCAAATCAGTCTTGGTGTTATTTTTGAGGGTATGTCTTACTTTGCTTTTAGTAATTTTACTGTGTACGTTCTTTGAACTATTTGCTGTGTACGTTCTCAGACTGAAGTCAGTAGAAGGTTGCCACGCTCAAAGTCCTCTATTTTTCATGCTAAAGATTAAAGCAAAGCTTTGTTGAATGCCGATGAAAAGGCTTTCTCGTTTTATCAGTTTTATGCATCTTTGTTAGTAAATGCAGATTTTGTTTATTAAACGTTGAAATTCATTTCCTATTGCTAAATACCTTTTAGAACCGAAAGGTATTTGGACTGTGCAAGGGTCAAAGATAAATTTAATTGAAAACTGAAGCTGGTCTCAAAGTTTTATTGTCGTTCTTTGTTAAACAAAAGTCCCTTTACACATGTCACTGCTGATAATAGTTTAGTTGATCTGCAACACTTTTATTGTGCCTGCATGCTCGGCTGCAAACTAATAATACACGTGGAAATGATTTAACTGCTTTTGGAAAACATTTATTGTGAAAGCTATTTTGCGTTGTTCATCCAAATCCAGTGGCTAGGTCAAACTCGTACCTGACACTGCCACAAGTGGCTTGATAAGAGTCTTATAAAACCCGCCTCTTTGTTAATAATCTGAATACTTCTGTAACTTCTCTGATCAGTTCTTTTACATTTCTTAGTCGGCCAGATTTGAGAACGCTGGACTGTCTTCAAACAGCCTTCGAAGTGTGCGACTTGCCAAAGTTATAGAGTCAGTGATTCTGATATATTGTAAACCGGCCTAATAACTGACGAGATTAGTTTCCTTGTTACTTGGTTTCGAGTATGCAAATCCCTAGTTGGGTCATAGAGAGTGATTATTAAGCCTCCTGAGAAATATCGAAACAATTATCGCCATAAAAACTGCACTGTTCACCAGCTGAACATAACTTCAATTAATTCCTCTTTCATTTATACAAAATTTCTCGGCGCGGCTTCTGTCAGTTGGACAACTTACCATGCACATCACTGCTAGCCATTTCGTTACGTTTTTTAATAATAAAGAGACATTTGAAATGACAATTTTTGTAGACGATTAGATATTTGGTTTTACGAATTAGTAGTGCTTTATAAGAGGGAGCAGCTGAAACTCCAATAAGTCGACGAGCATTGTCCATTCACCTCCAAAAGGTCATAAAGCGAGATAGTTTTACGAGGGTTTTTACCAGGCCTTCCAAAGTTACAAGATAATTCGTTCTGGTAAGCCTACAACAGGACAGTTGCATTTTGTCAATGCTATCTCTTTGCCGTACAATGAAAAACTTGTTAAGTGTTTGATACAGTACATTGGTGGCCGGCGTGAGTCGTTCCGAGTAGCTCTGCTTTCATGACGTTAGTTCACACCACCTGAAGTCTCAATCCTAATACCTTTCTTTTACAAAAAAGTCTTTTTTCGTGTCAATTGAGAGCTCATGTCTGAGGTGTCAAAAGTCAGAACCATGATGGATTGTCAAAACTACTGCACAGCGGTAGTTTTAGGGACTGTGGGGCCCGGGGCCAAAAAACATCTGCGAAGCCCATGTTCTTTACGATTTTAATTTTTTTTCTCGGGTGTTGGGCACCTTCTGACTACCATAAGAGCGAAGGCCGTGGCTCCCTGGACCTTCCAAACACTTTTAGTAGAGTTTGTAAGAAAAGTGCGATCGCTTTGATACAAAGAATCCGGCGGGATTTCTGCAGATTGTACCGCGCTATGAGTCCTTTGTGTGGTTAGCACGCAGAAGAACTTCTATAAACCCTGAAATTTTTCTTCCATAACTCTTCCGATGCCTGCTCATTGATCATGTTTTGCCACCACGAATCGGTACGCCCAGGCTTGACCCAAACCGTTCTTTTTTTTCGCTGTAATCCCTTTAGTTTTCTTGGCTTCAATTTATGGAGGTAGAAATTTTTTTCTTGCCAAGGATATTCTCATTCCCATGCCTGAAGGACAGCTGGGAGTTGGGATAAAAAAGAAGCAACATGCTGGAAGGTAGAATGAAATTTGCATGTAAACATGCGGTGATTTTATCCCACTTGCCAGCCCATATGCTGGAAGGTGGGATAACTTTGCTCATATATACAAGGCCCTCCGTATGTGGTGATTACTTGTGCATGATTACTTGAAACCGCAAAAATAAGAATCGAATGGCTCAGATTCCTATTGAAGAACAGTTCTTCCATTTAATGAACAGGGCGCTTTAAGAGGTTTCTGTAGTTCTGCTGTTTTTTATAACAGTGAGCGTATTGAGTTTAGTTAAGTTGCATCACTGAATGTTGCTGGCATCTAGATCTTGATTTGACTCAAAGAGCTGACAAATGACTTTCTGAGAATATGCGTTTAACAAATTAATTACCAAAAAATAACATACGTATTCTTTTTTAAATTATTTCCCTGGTCATAAATTATTTAAATAATTCCCAGTTTTTTAACATTTGCTGTTATTTATTTTGCGTAGGTTCTTACGTAAGTTTGAAATTTTGTGGCCAAGGGTAAACTTAAGAGTGGTAACAAAAGATTTTTACAAAAAGCTCCTTTGCGTAGCAGCTTTTGTCGTAGAGCGGCAGGTCTTGCCCAAACCCCAATAAAAAACTTGCCAGATTTAGGTGTTGCTTAATAAGGTTGCAAAAAAGCGGGGATTATTTGAATATAGTCTTAGGAGGTTTGTTTATATGACAAAATATTTTGTGACTAAAAACAACTTGAATCTATTCTCCAGCCCCTTGCAACAAAAAATCTCCCAAAATAAAACATATTTGTGGTTCAACGGGCAAAAACGCAAAACTTTAAACATAGTGAGGCAAGGGGAACTCGCCTCTCTCAGGTCGCTTCTGCAACTGCCTCTGGGTCAGAGCCAATTATGTCTGTTATTTCAAAATAAGTTTTGACACGCAAACTATATATATCCTATTGCATAATTGACAGATATCTCTTATGTACACATGCAATAACTTCTGCCGCATGCATACAGAACATCTGCTAATGCCCAATTTGTCAACTTAACCGTATTAAACCTAGAAGCATGGTAGCTTTATCTTCGAACATTCAAATCTTTTCTTTCCATTGACATTCATTCTTGGTTTATTACGTCAAGGACAGTCAAAAGTAACTCATGGTTTATGCAGATATGTTAATTCAATGTAATATTTTCTAGCAAAATCAAACGATTCTCTCAAAACACGGATGCGATGACAATAGTGAAATTTTGAAAACAAATCAAAGCTTCCCTCAAAACATGTAGTCCTTTGTTCTCTTTTAAGCTGAGCAAGCCTTGTTTTCGCTAATTCCTGAAGATAATACAGCCTCGAATTTTGCTCATATAGAAAACTGATAAGCAAACTCTGTTAACTCTTCTCTGATAATCATCATATTGATCTTTGTTGTCACTGTTGTTGGCTTTGCAGTAAGCCACGTGCAATTTGGCCATCTGCCATTAGTGCTAACTCTACAGCTTCATATTTATATAAACTATTGAACATTTATTCACCTTCGAAACATCTTGGGTTACATTTTCTGGGTTGCTTCATTACAGCTTGCAGTTTGTGTCGGTCAAACCACAGCAGGGTCCATTTTAACATAAAAAATAGTGAGAAAATTACTGCATAGGCCCTTGGATTTAGGACCTATTTGGCCCACAGATTGGCTAATGATTCGCCACTAGTCAGAACTTATTCAAATTAACTCAATTAACTGCTCTTTTTTGTTGCCTTCTGTGTCAACTCCATTGCTACCTGTTTCTATTTTCACCCTGTATGGTCAAACAGCAGATCTCGCAAAAGGATAAGACTGATAATTAGTATCTTAAGAATCTAAAGAAACGAACTGGACGATTTTCAGTGCATTTAGAAGTCTCAATAGCAATGGTGTCCATTACTTCATCATAATTGAGTGTCAAAAAAGTCAAGCTCAACATTTATCTAACCGCTCTTGGCCCTTTATTGATCACAGCCTATTTTTTACACACTTGAACTTTAAACATGTGATCTTCCATTTAGTAATACCAATTGGCAAGCCCTGCCATTTCCTGTACAAATGTACAGATTTAGATAGACTGGCTGTTAAATACATAACCATGAGTTTTACTGTCTTCAGAAAACTTTTTCTATTTATATCTTCCTTATCATACTTATTATTTGCTTCAAATTCTCATGCTTTTCTATAAAAAACAACAAATATCATTTTGCCGAAAAGATAGGAAATTTCCGGTCAATTGCCGAATGGTCGATGAAAAAGGGGGCCTGCCCCCTGTCCCCTAAACTACGACGCACCTGGAGGGGCTCAATCAACTCTAGTTAAAATTCAGAGAGATTACCAAGCTAGTACATGCTTGGTTGGACGAAGTCTGTGTTGACTATAGATAACGTCATAGATTTTCCGTGAATGAGCTATTTACTGTTAGTCTTTCTGAGTCTGTGATTTTTTAAATGATTTCATATGCACAACAGGGAACACAAATGAAAGTATATTGGGTGTGGTCATGGGTGTGGACTTGGGTATGGTTTCTAGAATTTATCTACAGCATAGCCCCTCCCTAATTTTTTAGGACGGCATCCCTGCTTCGACTCCCCTATAAAGAATCACGGGGGGCCGACCCCCTTAAATTAAAACTCTCTTCAAGTTTTTGCAGTTGGGTGCTTACGCTAACCTGAAAATATATCATTAGATTTGTTTGGGAATTAAGAAAAGCTTACATATTTTATACAGTAGATCAATAAAGATAATC